TTCCTTCCTTCCTTCCTTCCTTCCTTCCTTCCTTCCTTCCTTCCTTCCCTGCTTCCCTCCTTCCTTCTGTCCTTCTTTCCTTTTCTTTTTTGAGACAGGGTCTTACTATATAGTGCAAGCTGGACTTGAACTCATGCTGGGCCTCCTATCTCAGGTCCTTCTGAGTGCTGGGATTACAGGCATGTACAACCACTCAGGTTAAGTTATTTTTTTTAAACATAGTGAGTACTGCTCTTTCATAAAGACGAGATCGAGTCATCTCTAGCCAAGTGGATGTACCCAGGGACCGTACTGACAAATAAAATAAATTGGTCAAGCATGCTTAAATATTGCATCATTTCTCTGCTAGGAGAAACCAGAAGCATAAACAAGGGCCAAAATGTAGAATAGCTATTAGGAAAAGGGAAGAAAATGTTCCAGTGAGAAGAAGAACAGGGAGGTGGGAGGAGAAAAAGAAGGAAGGGTGAAGAGAAAAGGAATAGAAGGATAAATGGAAACAGAGCTTTTTAAAGAAGGACAGGAAGAGGGGTTGAAAGGAGGGGGAGGGAATGGCAAAAATAAATAAGATATATCACGTTCAGGTACAAATTCCCTATGATGAATGTTATGCATATCTAAAATGTACCAATAAAAAGAATAAAAGGATAGACACCATGCAAAGTCAGTGATTAAGATGATGAGGAGGAAGGTTAAGAATTGCTTCACCCTGATTTGGATTTTTAATCACAATGCAAGGTTCAACAAAATTCTAATCATCGGGAAGATTTAAAATTTTATCTCTTGTTCTTTTATTCCTACTTTACATTTATCAGTGGTTTTCACATTGGTTCACTTGCTTCCTTTTTTATTGATTTTGTCTCTGATCAGAATCTTAGGACCTTAGGATTTAAGTAATATAATTATTTTCATAATTTTAATCTTTCAGAGTTCAGCCCACAGTGTAATTTCTATTTAAGATAATACCTCAAAGTATTTCTTGGTGTATAATTTGGTGTTGGAACAATTTCTTTGTTGTTTATTTGAGACTGGCTCTCACCATGTAGTACAGGCTGCCCTTGAACTCACTAGGTAGCCCAGGCTGGCTTCAAACTCTTGATGATCTCCTGCCTCAGCCTCCCAAGTGCGAGGATTACAGGGGTATGCCACCACACCCGGCTTTCCTCATTATATAAATGTTAATTTGAAGCTTACTGGTTTATGCTTTTAAATTTGTAAGGTCTTAGATTGTGTTGTTGTCTATGGAGTAAAATCATAAAGTGGTTAAAGCAGAATTAATCTACAGTGCAAAGTCAAACCCTATTGTTGAGCATTCAGAGTTCCCAGCAAAACACCTCTAGCTTGGCATCTCCATTTTTCCTGACACGAATCCCCTCAGGCCCCGCTCATGCTTTGCATCTCCTCTACATTAGAACCTCAGATACAGCGTCTTGCTTAGAGCTCGTTCCTCACAGAAGAACTTCTGAGGTGAATCTAGCTCACAAGGGTCTCTCCTCTTCTGATCTCATTATTACTTTATTTTTACCCACTTAGAAATTATGTTTCATGCTGTGACATCCGTATCGTTATCTATAATGTTGCACATTCCCATGCACTATGTAATTTGGGGTGCTTGACTCATCTTTTTAATGAGATACTGAGTACTAGGAGAACAAAATAGCCTTTCACCTTTTGTTTTATAGTAAATACTGACACAGTAGCCTACTTAGGACCCTTGTTGTCACCCAAGCAGTGTTTTTGGGTGATGGAGTTTGTCTTGGAGGCAGAATATAGCTCTAAGAGTCATTGAGAACTTCTTTGGAAGAAATTGCACATCCCATACTATACCTTGACGACCTCTAAAATGCCTTCATTCGTTTGTGGGTCCGTTTGAATATTAAACCAGTTTCCCTCATTTCCAGAGAGGATTACATATTTTGCCAACCAGTTATCAGTACCCTCTTCATCAAGATCAATTGCTTGTAATCGTATCAGTTCCGAACTCAAACAATTCTCTTTGATACTTGCTGAATACTGAAATAGAACAGATCAATTTCATAATCAATGAATGTTCAAAAGAATAACAATTCTAACACATAATTACCTTATAAAATACTAAACAACAAATGAGCTCAATGATTTTTTTTTTGTGGAACTCAATAATTTTTATGCCATGATTAATGGCATGCTTCCAATCAGAAATATAAGAATTAAATGATTCTTAAGCTGATTTTCATATACAGCATGTGAGATCCAGCTCAAATTTCAACTTGTTTCATTTCTTTTCCTGATTATTTTGTTGTTTATGTATTTGGTACAGATTCTCACTATGCAGCTCAGACTCATAGTGATCCTCCTGATTATTTTTTAACTTACAAGGGATCATATATTTTTCAGTAGAGGGCCAATTAGTAAGTATAGCAGGCCTCATTGGCTGGAACACCAGGGTTACGGCTCCTTGTCTCTGTTACTGAAGCAGAAATAAGCCATAGACAGCATGAAATAGAATAATCAAAATGTCTTTTTATTAAAATAAGTGGCAATCAAGATTCTACCCTCCTAGGTTGGACTTTATACTTCTTTATGTATAAAGATAAAAATGAAAGTTGCAGGCTGGGGAGATAGTGGACTAAGCATCTGCTTATGCAAGTGCAGGGACCTGGGCTTGATCCCCAGTACCACATGTGGCGCCGGCCCCGCCCTTGGGTATGCTGAGCTGGCCACAGAGACTGGGTGTGGTGACGTACGCCTGTAATCCCAGCTCTGGGGAGGCTGAAAACAGAAGGATCACTATGAGTCTGAGCTGCATAGTGAGACCCTGTACAGCATACATTAAAAAAAATAATGGCAAATACTTGGGTTTCTGGTAGAATGAATGTATTCAAACATGAAGTAAATGCAAATGTTCCACTGTGATCAAGTTAGTGTCAGAGTTTCCACAATTAAGGAATTTCCACAGTTCTGTGAGCCAATGGCATGGAGTTGCTAGCTCTTGCTTTCATAGAGAAAGCTGCTCGGAATAGTGAATTGGAGATAATATAGATGTTATTCCCAGGGTTTATGTGCAAAGTTGAGCCCCCGTATATGTGAGAGAGGCAGGCTCACAACTAGTGGGAAAGCCCTGAGTAGCTGCACCTCCAGGAAGATCACAAAGGTCACAACTTACGGAAGTCTTTTCTAAGACAGGGAAATTGTCGTTGACGTCTAGAATCTTGATTCTGCAGTCGCACTCGGAGGACAGCCCGTCTGCAGCTCCATCCCGATCTGAGCCCCTCACCAGCAGGTTGTACATACTGTGTTGCTTGATTAGGATGCAAAAGCGTGCGGCTTAGCTTTTGTCTTGGGTGAACCCAACCCATTCCAAGGCCACGACCTCCCTCTACTTCTACATGAATGTCTGATGAAATCCACATCTGATCTTTAATGTTCACTAAAATTGAATGGCACAATTTTCTTTTCCTCCTTTACGTTGGAATAAGGCACACATGGGTCATTCCATTTTTGCTCTTCAAAATTTGATTTTTTTCATTGGTGCAATGTAGGCATACATAATGATCACATTCCTCATAGGGAATTTGTACTGTACATCATATATCTTTGATCCTCTTCTTCCCCTACTCTCCTTCCCTCTTTTCAACTCTTCACCCCCTTTTTATTTTACAAAGCCATTTCCTTTTTATCCTTTTCCTCATCATTGTTTCTTCTCTCTTCCTCCCCCATCTCTCTTTCCTTATGAATAATTCCTTTCCGTTTCACAATATTTATTCTACATTTTAGTTCTCATTTACACTGCGAGCTCCTCACAGCAGACAGACAATGTGATATTTCGCTTATTCACCGAAGCTTTACCTCTCTGTCAAGGAAGCTGGACATGGTGCGGACTTCTCCGGTATACCTGTTCACCATGAACATCGGGGCACCTGCAGGCTCCTGAGAGATGATCTTGTAGGCGATTTTAGAATTCAGATGGTTGACTTCGTCCGCGTCTGTAGCACTTAGCTTTACCACTAGGGCATCTAGAAATAAAGACAGAGTGGGGAATGGTTGGCACTGTTAGGATGAATGCATCAGATCTTCAGGCTTAAAGAGTGGTGGGCTCTCTCCTCAATCATCTCTGTGCAAGTTTTCTACAAGAACATGTTTTTATAACTTACACATATACCAGTGATTACAGAACAGTGGGCTGCTTCTATGAATTTCTTTCTATTTATAAAGTATTTATATTACTTAAATGAGTAAATGGAAGATTAGTAGCAAAATGTAGTGGCATTTAATATATGGTAAAAGTTCAGTAGTCTATTTAGAGCCCAAGGGAGTGATGTTGTCAGTTTTGTTTTGCTGTGGCTTTGTGAAATTATTTTAAATGCTTAATTAAGAACAATCATAACTCAGTTAAAGTCAGCATTGCAACTATTTATTGAGCACCTATATTCCTAGCTGTCATTCATCTAGAAAGAGATAATTACTATGGTTGCTCTGTAAGGTAGTGGCACTTTATCAAGCACCCAAAATATGTAATTATTGGAGAGAAGATTTGATCGTAGGAATCTAAGAAGTTCTTAATTACTTATAGAGACAGAAGCAGGCATGCTGGCTAATCCCAAGGACATCATTGCACTGGACAAAGTTTTCCAGAGTGTGCAGGTTCCTGATGTTCTTTTGCTCCTTGGCCAGGCCTCAAAGTGAGTAACTCAGAGCTTCCTTGGGTATAAAGAGCCAGGACCGAAGGACTTCCCGGGTCCTGATGATGTGTGCTGGCTCTGCGGCCCTTTCTTCATAAACTCCTCTCGTCTGAGCAAGCAAGCATTCCTACTTTGCTAATCAGCAGCCAAGGGAACTTGTCTTCATTCAGCAAGGCTGTGCTGGATGATACACGTCAGCAGCCAGACAAGGGAGGCGTTTGGAGTCTCCTCTCTGCCTCTCTGTGTCCTTCCATTTTAGACGTCCCATCCCTCGCCTTTCTTCTAAAATTTACTTTTTCTAATACTTCCCCTGTTGATGTACTTAGAGGTATGTTAACAGGCATAAATTCAAAAGGGGAAGGAATAAGAGAAGACTGGAGGGAGAAGAGGCAGAAGGCAGGGGGAGAGGAAAGAGCCACCTCAGAGAAACCGAAAACTAAGAGGGAACAGAGTTAAGACAGGCTTGGTGACACACTGTAATTTCAGTAGTGGGAAGGCTGAGGTGGGAGGATCCCCATGAGTCTATTTAAAGGCCAGTTTGGGCTACATAGTCTGCAAAAGAAAGAAAGAAAACAAGAGGTACAGGAGTTTCAGGAGAGCTAATATAAAGGGAGAACAGAGGAGGGAATTAGACTCGGAAATGGAATGAAACAGGATGGGAAGGAGTAAATTCATGAGCGCCGAGACTCACTTCCTACGCAGACCACTTCCTGTGAGGGCGGCTGATTGCTCTGCTTGTTGGAGCAACTGGGAGGAGGCCCCAGCCCCTCTCCCCGGCGAGGTTCAGGCCCAGACTTGGAGGAAGGCACCAAAACAGAGCCTGCGTGAACATTCATGGCTTCTTCCTGTGCTTACTCCTTCGTGTTAAATTAACCACTAATCCTGAAATGGTTCATGCAAAGTACCTGCTGAACTGCAAGCACAAAGATCTTCTATAAATAAGAGTATAGGGCTGGGGACATAGCTCAGTAGAATAAGCGCTTGCCTGGCAAGCACAAGGTCCTGAGTTCAATCCCCGGTACCGCAAAAAAAAAAAAAAAAAAAAAAAAAAAAAAATTAGCATGTTAGACCTGTTTCTATCCTAGCTGAGGAATAAGTTAAAACTTGTGAGGCTCTTTCGAAGCACAACTTTGGTTTTTTCCTCCCAATCTTTAACAGATTTAAAAAATAATGTATTTAGTACAGGGTCTTACTATGTAGATCAGACTTGTAGTGATGCACCTGTGTTCAGCCTCCCAAGTGCTGGGATTACAGGCAGGCACCACCACGCCCAGTTGTAAACTCCGCCTCAGAGCGCCTCGGGGGTTAGGGTTGGCTGGGCAGGTCGGGGTATCAAACCTCCAGCCCCTGCGGCTGCCTAAACGGGCACTTTAATCTGCTGAGCTATCTGGCCGGCCTTCTCCCAGTCTTTAAATGCCCAGTGTTTCAATCTTCTAAAACTGCTGCCCCAAGGAGGCGGAGGAGGCTGCAGGGCGGAGGAGTCCTTTACTTACTGGCGTCGCTGTTCTCTTCAATGCTGGCGGTGTAGATGTTCTGGGTAAAGACGGGGGCGTTATCGTTTATGTCCATGACTTTGACCCTGAGCTCTAGAGGACTCTCTAGATCTTCCCCCCGTGAGTTCAGAGCACGGCAGTAGATCTGTGGAAAGTCAGGAAAGGAACGGTCACTCCCCACCACAGGAAACAGGGTAATGCGTTTGAAAATACAGAAAGAGGGAAGAAGTGACTTTCCCTTGAACCTGGACTGCATTATCATGCAATAATGTAAATATGATTGAGGCATTCGGTCACCTGCAGCTGTAACATGCAAGAGAATCTTGAACAGTAACCCTACATTTTAACTTTTTCTCATCCATTGTAACCCTTCATTTGTTCAGTCTACTGTGTTTTGCCGAAAGGAAGCCACGATCTTTTTTTTTTTTTTTAAATTTAGTACAGAGTCCACAGGGGTCTCACTATACAGGTTGGACTCATAGTGATCCTCTTGTTTTCAGCATCCCAAATGCTGGGATTACAGGTGCGTGCTACCACAGCCAGTCTCATTTGCCATCTCAGCGCACCCCAGGGAACGGGGCCAGCATGGCAGGCAGGGGATCGAACCCCCACCCTTGCATCTGCCTAGGCAGGTGCTTTAATCCGCTGAGCTATCTGGCTGGCCAGGAAACCATAGTCTTGACATTTTCTTAAAATGGAGGTAAAATAGTATGAATAAATCAAAAGAGTGGTGTGACTTACCAGGAAAAGTGGAGTTATCTCTCTGTCCACCACTGAAGTAATGTTAATTTCCCCAGTTCGAGGATTAATGGTGAACACACCATAAGGTGGCCGGTCAATCCCTGCCCCGGAGATGCGGTACGTGATTTTCTGGTTCGCTTCGCAGTCTGAGCGAATCTACAAGTGAAATGGTTAGGATCTGATCTCAGTTAGAGCCAATCGTGAGCCTGAGTCAAAAATCGAAAGGGAAAGGAAACCATAGCTAGATGGGCTTTGGTTTGAAATGCAGCATTGTGACTCAGCGCTGTGTGACCCTGAAATCAATGATGTCCTCCAAGATTAAGGTGGGGCAGCACTGTCACACACACACATGATCTTTATGCAGCTGGATGAGGTCACATGTTTACAGCCCTAGCCCAGGTGTGTACTGTGTATACACATGCATATGTAATGCCAGATTTGCTATTATTAACAGTACAGTGCTCAGTTCCCTGATTGTGTTTGAGTATAGTTGGACAGAAGAAATCTGCATCTTTAATAACTTTTAAAATTTGTGTTATGGTAATAAATACCCTGCTTAAACTTGAGTTTGAGATTCAGTCAAAATGGTAGACAGATTAAGAAAATTACAAGAGAAATAGTGGTTAGATATGGAAAAATTTCTTCTGCCCAACAGGTAATATGTAGCATACAATATCACAGATAATATATAACACAAATATTAGTTATTGCTGAACTCAAGGCCTTCACACTGAGCTGCTTTCTCAGCCTCTTTATTTTCTTATGTATTTTGATAAAAGTTCTTGTAAAGTTTCTGAATTGCTCAGGCCGAGCCTGAACTTCCAATCCTCCTGCAGCAGAATTTTGAACACTGGACTAGGCCTGGGTGACCCCGCTTAGCTTCTGTCTACTAGATTTTATGGCCAATGTAGACTTTGGCCACAAGGATTTGTTTTAAAAGCTTCATATCTATTGCTGTCTTCTGTACTAAAGAAGAATGTGTCTGGTAAAATATTAAGACTTGTCACTCAAATAGCTACCATTAATTAAAGTCAGTTAGAAGTACAATTTCAGTTAGCTCAGGTCTAATCTGAGGATCTTTTTTCATGCATAGAAGAAAGCTCTCTGAAACGCAGATTAAAAAAGGGATGTGCAGTGTAAATGCCAACAGCATAAGAGTACGAAATTAAATGAAAATCATACTTTAAAAACGTCTTTCCAGTTTGAGAAGTTCTGAGGAAACATGAGGTTCTTTGCTCGAGTTGAGGTTGGACCTGTAACCTGAGTGCTGACGTTTATTCTCCCGTAGCTGTCTGTCTCTACGGAGCTGGATCAAGGCAGTGACGCTGCCTGCTGTTGGTTTCTGCGGCCGGCCAAGGCTGAGATGCCCAGAAAGGGTGCGGGGACGGCTACGTGGGCGCCAGCCCTCGCGGACCATCTGTCACACGTGCTCACTCGCACTTTCCTCCCTCCTTGGCAGCCCGCGTTTGTGAAGGCCTTTTCACCCTCTCCTAATTTTGAAGTTAGAGATTTTTTGACACTGCCCTTACTGTCTTGGATTAGGCAAATACAGCGGCAGACCCCTGCCTACTGGCGCGTTAGTCCACAGCAGGTGCAGGCAGCGAGGGACAGACCTCAGACAAACCGCCGCACCCATTCGCGCTCTGGAGCCCAGCTATTGTCCTAGGGTTACTTGCCAAGTTGGCTGTTGGTAAACTCACTTGTTCTGTGTTGCTGCCGGCGCATGATACTCAAAAACAAGCAAGTGACTACACGTTGCTCTCTCCTATCCCTGTGCGGCCGCCGGCTTCAACTCCGTGAAGCATGTTGGACTTTTCCTGCCAGCCACGCATTTGCCATCAGCACACGACCCTCTTGTGTGCCTTGGGCTTTGTCCCTTACCCTGGCGATCGGATTCCTCTTGGAGTTGTCCTCTCCTTCCCGACAGGCGGCGGCAAACTTGATCCACTCCCTCTTCTGCCGCCTGACGGTTTGCCATGTCGTTGTGCCATTTTCAATGTCTAATTCTTTCACCTTAAGCAAAGAGAGTTCACATTTATACTGTTAGAATGCCTTTAATAAATACAGATATTTATCTGACTTTGTGAGTTGTACCTGGAAGAAACAATGGTGCTCAACTAAGTCTCAATGCTGGAGAAATACAGCTTGCCCAGCGCTGGCGGCTACTTTACTGGAATCAAATTACTTCTAACGCTAAGTCTCTAACTCAAACAGTTCCCATTAGCTCTGTGTGGTGTTCGCAACACTCAATAATTCGTCCTGCATGGTAGCTTGTCTTTACTGCATGTGGAAGCCAGGCTCACCTCACCTTCCCCGCTCTCTGACAGGACCTTACAGTCCCTGGAGTTTAAAGGCTACCACTCCTCTGTGTGAGCGCGTCTCATCCTAAGTATAAGCTGCGCTCATTTAAGCTGAGGGAAGAGGCTTTATCTTCTGTTGATAAGGACGTCTTCATGAGTACGTATCCAAGTGCATTATTGCAAAATTAGAAGACTAGAGCCGACGGGTGGCACTGGTCATGCATCCTATGGCCATCTCTGTGGCTTTTTAAATTTCTTTTGTCTTTTTGAGACAGGTTTTCACTACACAGTTCAGGCTGGGCTTGAACTCACTGTATAGCCCAGGCTGGCCTCAAATTTGCAGTGTTCCCCCTGCCTCAGCCTCCTGAGTGTTGGGATTACAGCTGCGCACCACTCTATGGCTTGTTGATGTTGCACATTTGTGTGTCTACTTGCTTTGTTTGTCCCTTTGTAGCTTTCTGTTGTTGGTCATGGATGCTTAAGAATTTTGTGTAATGGAAGACTTTCAAAATGTTACTACATGCATAAATGCATGTGTATATGTGCACAAACATTATATTTTTATTTTTGAAAGTACTAATATCTTCATGGAGACATAGATGATTATATGTTTATTTAATCTGAGGCTTTATTTAATTACTACCTTGGGGTGGAGATGTTCCCTAAGTGAAGCTTATTGTTTCAAGAAGCAGTGCATTTATACCCCCATTTTAATACACGTTCCTGAAGTGTATCGTATATTTCCTATTTTGTCATCAGAGATTAGAAACGTGATTTCATTTTCTCCAATGACTTGAGATGATACTAATAAAAATTTCACTACTGCAATAAAATTGGGTCCCACCAGAGATACAGGACAGTAGTCTTATTTCCTGAGTCCCGCTCTAAAAGTTAACAGATTTCCCATTTATTTAATTCCAGTTATGGAGATTTTAATTTTTACATCTTTCCCTTTTTCATAAACCAGTTTGTTTCTTGTTGATATGTCAAAAAAACCTTCCGTTTTAATGTTTTCCTTTTCTTTTTTCTTTTATTTTGCTATAGTTTGGAAAACTTTGTGTGTGTGTGTGTGTGTGTGTGTGTGTGTGTGTGTTGCCACAGAGTATCCCCGTGTAGTCCAGAGTGGCCTTGACCTCCCAATGTGGCCCTGGCTGGCCTCAGATCATTGTGAGTCTCCTATCTCAGCCTCCCAAGCCCTGGGAATACCAAACTGGGTATACTGGGAAACATTTAAGTATGTCCGTAACATAGTTTTATGAGTGGGAGGTACACAGACAGTGACATGCCCACACCATGCCCTTAACGAATAAAAATTAGGAAGTTTGGTTTTACTCCTGCTATTTCAGCTTGAGTCATGATCTTTCTCCTAAGTTCTGTGTGCATGATTATGTTTTCAACTATTCTAATGTTTGATACATACTATGAAACCCAATTTTCTTTTGATTTTAAGTAGAGAATATAGTTTTCATACATTACCTCCACGATAAATTCACTGTTTACTTCCAGCACCACCTGTTGGAAAAGACACAGCGTTAGCATGCATTTATGGAGTGCTCAGAAACAGGGCCTAACAGCACTGGAGATATTCTTTCATTAACTTGGCTCTTAAATATGCATTTAGTTAAAAAATGTAAAATCGGCACGAGTAATAGAAAATGAATAATATGGCTTTTTGCCCTCAAAAGGCTTTTACATTTTAATTTTAATTTGTGTGCGCAGAACATCATGCCTACATTCTTTTGGAGGCTTTTAAAATTTCAGAGAAGACCAGCATGTGACTTTCTACCACAGGCAGGTTAGGACACCTGGTTCAACAGAGCCGCATGTGGGCCAGGTGGCAGGGGTGGGACAGGGGCTTCAGTTACCAACATGGAGTGTAGGGGGGTCACCCAGGCCAGCAGGGGCTTCTAAGGGCTCTGTGGGTTGAAGCTGATTTAACAAGAGGAGTTGATCCAGAACACTTCAGCTGGTGGCAACAAGAACACAGGAGTAAAGGCACATGATTTTAGAGGCTGGTGCAGAGCCAGTACAATTAGTGGTCTAAGGAGAGGCGCCCTGAAAAACGAGGCCAGACAGTCCGCATGGAGCTACACCGGAAGTGCTTCACATGCTAGGCAGTTGGACTGCACTGAATAGAGATGGAGAGTAAAGAGATCATTGTTTTTGAAACATGTCATTCATAGGCAGGGAGGATGGCAAGAGAAAGCCCTGAGGTGGAACTGTTGAAGAGCTAGGAATTGCCTGGGTCAGATCCAGTGAAAGCGTGAACCTGGGTATGAGAGAAGCTGGGAGCAGGAGAGGAACAGAGGCGTCAGCAAGGAGCTGACAGGGCTCATATACTGGAGGGCTTGAGGAGGGAGAGGCAGATGGTGCCAGTGAAGCCAGCTTGTCACTCTGGGGAGAGGCGGTAGGGCTCACAGAAACTAAATGTAGCAGGGACGGTCACAGCAGGGCACTGAGGACTTAAATAGGTTCTGTTTACCTTCAGTGTATTTTTTTAATACTAGGAATAGGAGATCACAAGCAGACTTTTCAAAAATGGCATTATTTGAAGGTAAAGAAAATGAGGGCACTGAATGAAGCAGGACTGAGGGGATGGGGGAAGAGCGCAGGACAGAGCCTCATGGGAACTCTTACCTTTGTGGAAGGAATGGGAGGGAGAAATCGAAGCCTGGAGAGTGTAGCCAGGCTGAGATCGCAGGTGGAAGGGTGCTGTGCACACAGAGCAGGCTCTTAGTGTGGGGGGTTGGTAAAGAACCAGAGTTTAGGAACGAAAGGAGGTTAAGCAGGAAAGTGCAGAGGAAGCATTCAGAAAGGGGGCAGAATAAGGACAGGACAGTGTTACGTTAGATGAAGAAGGAATATTGACTGCTCTGTGTGTTATGACAAGGTCAAGAAAAATGGGAGTTGAGAGGGTCCCGAGGTCTTAAAGCCTCAGACAGCGCTAACTTTGCAAATGCAATAGTTCAAATGGCAAGAATCAAGAAATGAGTTATTAAGAAAGAAACCATACATGCAATTTTGTGATTTGCTTTTGTTTTCAGTGGTTATGATAGTAAAATTCCATGTTAACTGATTCACATAGACAAATGTTTTGGTGTCTGTCTTATGCTCCACTTGGGTGCTGGTGCTGCACTCTGCTCACTGGGACAAAGGAAAACTGAGAACTGTGGTGCACACAGACCTGCAATTCTCACACATCCCTCAGCGGCCCCGGAAGCTGACCTTGGTGAACACTGGGTTGGTGAGCTCAGCCCGTGAGCCCTGTGAATCGGAGTCTCCTGGTCCTCATCCTCAGCTGCATATTTGCCTCTCACTTGCTCTTCCCCTCTCCCCTTTGATGCTCTCTGAATTGCTCCTTCTTTCCTCTGGACATTGTCTTGGGCCTGATGCCCCCCAGAGCATCACTACGTTGTGAGCACCAGCCGAGCAGACCTCAGAGTTATAATCAACCCAGTAATTTAATTTTAACTTGGAACAAGAGTAGAGAGAGCATCCTCACTGAATGCTGCTCATACTTGTGATGAGACAGGGCCGGTAGTTTTGCCCTGTAGAGGAACGCATTCTCAGCCTCATTTCTGGTTGCTCACAGCAAGCCTGCGAAGTTAACATCGTAGCTCGTGGACACAGTATTAACCGCAGCTGGGAAGGGGCCCAAGTCACTACACCACTGGCAGTTCCTCACCAAATTGTTCTGAATTTGTTTGAATTTTGCCCTCATGGGATTGTGTTCCCTGCCCTGAAAAGATACTGATGTTTGTATTAATACTACTTTAAAAAAGTTTTTTTTTTTTTAGTAGGACCAGGGATTGAACTCAGACCCTTGCTAATTCTACTGAGCTATCTCCTCGGACACTTAATACTCCTAATTTTATTTTGTAGATGGTCTTCAAAACTGTTGCTCACGAAACTAAGAATTTCTGAAAAAAGGTGCTCGTCCTCAAATCTTTCTATACAGAGGGCTAAAAATTTTCAGCATAAGATAGAAAGTTTGCGAAGGATGGCATTTAAGGCTATTTTAAGTGTTGATATTTTACAATACAATTGTCAAATCACTGTTAAATATAGTGGAATAGAAGCCAAAGGCCATTGTCACTTGATGCCCAATGTCATTTGTCAGAAAAAAAGACAAAGTTCTTTGAAGGGTGGAATTTATTTTGCTCTTATTTCTCCTTGCATTCCTATACTGTGTGCGTGTGTGCGTGTGTGTGTGTGTGCATGTGTGTGTGTGTGCGTGTGCGCGTGTGTGTTTGTGTTTTAAACTGGGAATCCAATTCCACAACTTGTCCTTGCCAGGCAGGTGCTTGTGCCACTGAGCTTCATCCCTAGCCTCTCCGATATTCTGTTGATTAGATTAGCTTTACAGTTACAAAAACAGCATAGTGGAGTGAACGTAATGAAAAATATGGAAAATTTGATGCATTGTTTTTAGATATAGAAAGCAGAACTGGATTGAAAATGTAAAAGAAGGAAATGGAGTTTTGAATTATCAATTTGTAAATAAATACCACTTAATAGAATTAAGTCTCAGCATCAATTCTGTTTTATTTGGTTTGTTTTAATTATGAATAGAGCACTGAAAAGAAACGTTTTTATTTGTAGATTATATTGGAGGACTATTTATTTATTTATTTATTTATTTATTTTATTTTTAGGGAAGGGTCTACAGGGTGTTCAGGGTCTCGCTACTAAATCGGACTTGCAGTGATCCGCCTGTTTACAGCCTCCCATGAGCTGGGATTACAGGTGCGTACCACCGCGCCCAGTGTCAGTCGCTGTCTCAGCGCACCCCAGGGGCAGGGCCGGCTGGGCAGGCCCGGGGGCACCTGCTTGCTGGCACTTTAATCCACTGAGCTATTTGGCCAGCCCTGGAGGACTTTTTAAAAATCAGAGTCCTTACTTTTTTCTAACTTATTCTGAATTATGTGACCTAAATCTACAGAGCAGCCCCTCCTTACAATGCATTTTAAATGACTTCTCAGCTGATTAGACTGTCTTCCTTTAATTTTGTTGAAAACAAATAATTGAAAGCCACATAACTTGCAAACAGATCTTATAGCTCGAGAGGCAACTATCTTCCTTAATACCGATAGCACAGTTTGAATTATCTTTCATTTTAATGTGCCAGATCATTTTATAATCAATCACAGAGTAGTTTAGTAAGACTGCCGTGTGCAAGAGGCATGAACTTTTTTAAAAAGAGAGATTTAGGAGAAGAGAATCAGCCTGGTGCAAGTGTATGCTTGGGTAGGTTGATTTAAGGGACGAACACTTGTCTATGTATGTATGTATGTATGTATGTATGTATGTATGTATGTATCTATCTATCTATCTATCTATCTATCTATCTATCTATCTATCATCCATGAGGAAGTTGAGAATCTAGAAATTGTTTCCTTTAAAACTCTGTGCACTTACACCGTTTGACAGGCTCCTTCAGTTCACTGAAATATGTGCCTCAATTTAAGACTTACTGGGATAGTAATTAAGCAGACGCAAGTTCCTTAAATGGGTGTACATTTCAGGCAAATCATTTCTTTCCCACAGTGGAAGTTTAGGCTTAAATTGCCACTTGGCTTCATTAACAGCAATGTGCTTAAGAGGCCAGTTCCTTAGATGTGGAGGCACAGAGCTGAGTGTGGGCCCAGCCTCTGTCCTCTACCAGCTGTGTGACCTTAGACGCAGTCCCCAGCCCGACCCTTCAGGCTCTCATCCAAGCAGAGTCACAGAGGGAAAGGAAGGAGTGCAGTAGATGCTTGATGGGACATGGAAGGGACAGGGAAGGGACATGGAAAGGACAGGGAATGGGAAGAAGTTTTCTCCTGCTCCAGAGCACCCATTTGTAGCCTTCCTTCATATAAAACCGCTAATCAATCATTTTTAAAGACCTGAAATTAGTCAAACAAAGCAGTCTTGTCTTTAGTTCAAAGAGTTGAGATAGTACTCATGTTCCTGTGACCTGGCTTTTGTTCTGACTACAGAGCCAGTTCAACGGACATATAACAACTATCCAAAGTAGCTCTAAGAAAGACTCCTTGGCTATAATAGCCTCCTTTATGTCCTTTCAGTGGCTCCGCTGTTTCCTTTTTAGGCCAGGGAAGATGCAATGCTGGATTCCAGGGAAAAGCTGTCACTGAGCAGGACTTCTGTTGTGGCTGGCGGAGGCCTCTGTGTACACTCCCTGTATCCCTGCTCCCTTCTCAGCAGGCTTTCCTGATGGGGGCAACATAGCCAAGCCCCCAAATCCTGTCACTGCAAGTGCAGGTCTCCCTAAACCCAGCTGGTTTTATACTTCAGCCCTTAGAAAGAGGTCCTGAGTGCTGTAGGGAGAGCTCCTCACTTCCCAGACAATGATCTGTGAATGGTGTTTGGTAGGAAACATGCAAGGACATTGCCTTCCCAAACTGTATGAAGGAGCACAATTTCATGAGTCCAAAACTATAAAGCCTACCTACAGGTTCTTAGACAACTGCTGTAGAAAGCCTCTGTCTGTGAAAGTCACTCTTTGGAGCATATACGGGTCCAACCCTGTTCTCTGATGTGGCTTTCCCTGAATGCCTCGTTCAGAGGCACCCACGCAGAGCAGAGCTGGCTGAACCAGTCAGCACAAGGGCAGAAACAAGAATGGGGTGTTGGAGGCACCTTCTGCGGATGAAGAAATTGATCTGGCCAGATACGTGCTAGCCTAAAGGCATTACAGTTCCTGTGGACCTCCTTCACGAGAGAGTGTTTTGTCTTCTATTTCTCTGGGAGTCCTTAAAATAAATTACATTAATAGAAGAAAGCTGAATAAGACCTTTTCAGGCAATGTGAAAAAGACAATGTGGAAAGAAACTAAATATGTGAATTTACAAGAATACAGAGAACATTAAGACTTAGTTCTTGCCTAGGTAGGGCCACATGTTGAAAGGGGGATAAGTAGATAAAAGATGAAAGTATATTGGAATGTATTAGACACTGTAAAAAAAAAGCATATGCATACAGGAAGGTTGTGGGCCAAAGTGGTAAGGGAGTGAATTATAGTACATTTGAAATGGTTTATTGTAGTATTGGGTTCAAATCTGGACTGTCTCAGTTATGGGTTGTCTGACCCATATCTGCCCTGAACATTTTTTGTAAGTTTGTTCAATTGAAATACTTCTATAAACTTTGCAGGAGTTTTGCTGCTATGTGAAAATACATTTTCTAACTGTAAATGTTATGCCACCATAAGGTAGTAGATGCATTGTACAACAGACTTTGCTCCAGAGAACCAACCCCTCTTTATCTCAGCTTAAAGAAGTTCTGTGCACGTTGAAGTGTGTTAACCGCATTAGCGTTCTGCTCAACACATCAGTAGAAAATACGGCGAATGACTGGATAAAAATGGAAATTGGAAGCTAAATTTATTCCTTGGAAAAGTTTTATGGGTAAAAAAATGTGACAGGCCAAGTTTTTGTGTGTAAGACAAGTTCTGAGTCATTATAGTTATAATTTTAAGGGGAATAATAGAATATACACATGCAACTCTTAGCAAGTTGCAGAAAATTTTTTAGGCTTTGTTTTCTCTTCCAATGCTGTTAGAGTATCACTGTTTCATGTAAGAGAGGTGGAAACTAAGTTGTTACCTGAGCTCAGGGTAATATTAGAAGACACATTAACACCTCACATATACTGAGTGTATTTGGCAGCCTGAACAAAGCTATTTTTCGTCTCTGTGACTTCACTTTTTGAAGTCAGTTTTGAAGTCATTTGCACACGTAGGACCAACTTATTAATAAGCAACTATCTCTTGAATAATGCTCATAAAAATTATTGAGTAAAATAGTCGGCATCTTCCTAGGGGTATGGTAGGGATGCCAAGTTTAAGCCTAATTATACCACTTTTGTTTATAATTGAAGGTGGATCAAGTGATGACATTTTAGTTTGCAAGCCATGTAATTTTCTGTGTAGAAAGGCCCAGTGAACGTTTCTCATGCAGGTGGCATTGGGAGCCGTCACTCTCCTCACTTGTCACACACCCTATCGTCAGACTTGCCCTGCGTGAGGGAGGAATTTCAACATGGTCGCACTTAGGGGACAGGGAAGGCGTCACTGCACCTGTGCAGGGGCCCCCCTGCCCAGAGAGAAGCCATGCCCCTCCTCCACCAGGAAGTGCCCCTGAGGGCACATCAGACCAGGATGTGTGGGTCCAGGATTTTTTTTTTTTAATTTAATTTTTTAAAAAGAGAATACAAAACTGTAAAAAGAAAAATTAGAAACGATACAGAATATCACTAAACAAAATAATAGGAATTAGACAATGGTTGTTATATTAGATAATGTTGTCTTCAACTAGTTGTTAGGTTACCTCATATGAGCATGCAAAATTGGTAAAAAAAAAGTTATAAGAAATTAAAAAGAAAAAGAAAAAAATGAAGCATTAACTGCTTCTTTCAGGAGCCCAAGAGTAGCATTTAGTAGTCCTAGCTATCCTCGGTATATACATACATGATAGGCTTTTTAAAATTAGCCTTTTGAAGGGAGCAGTTAATGCTTAAATTTTTATTTTGAGCAATTTTACATGCTTATATCTGGTACTCTGAGCAACTATTTTGAAGACAACTATGTGCAATATATCAACTACCATTTAATTCCTAAAAAAGAGAGAAGAGCACTTTATTTGTTTGTTTTTGCTGTACCGGGGATTGAACTCAGGACCTTGTGCTTTCCAGGCAGATGGTCAAGCCACTGAGATATATCCCTGGCCCAAGAGTGGAGCATTTAAAACAGCCATCCAAGGGGCCATGAGATATTTGTAGAGCAGAATTTTTTATCCTGCAGTTCTCTAGGTTGATATGATAGAAAAAACTATACTCAAATTATAGCTTGTAGTACAGTTGTAATGCCAGCTGTCTTTCGGGATATAAGTCATTTTAGCTGAACTTCTGCCATGGGTCCTATAGGAATTTGAAGCCAAAAATATACATTTGTTTACTTCACTTAAAACATTTTATGTATATTTATTTCATACCTACATAAATATATAACATAAAATGTATTGAATATATATTTATATAAAAATTTCAAATATAAATATAGCTCTGTCTACTTGGCTTAAGCATTATATATATATTTATGTAATATATTTATAGATGAATATGTATTACATATTTAATGTTTATATAAAATATTAAATATAGATGTGCATTGCTTGGCTGCATATATATAATATATATTATATATATAATAGAAGTAATAGTTGCTTCCATGTAACCTTTGCTGTGATGAGGACATCAGTAGTTTCTGTAGTAAGTGGTTCTATAACCAATCATTATAGTGAGTATATTATATTTAATAGAGATAAAAACCAAATCAGATAATGTGCACCCCATCATTATATTTCGAGAAATCTGCCTGTTGAAATAAACAAAACCAAATATCTGCACTATGTGTCAGAATTCTATTGTTTTGTGTGAGAACTAAATTGAAAAGAGGCTAGGTTACTTCTAAATACATTTCTAAGTTGCAGCGACTATTTTCAACTTACAATGAGATATTATCTATATGCCTAATCTATTACTTTTTTTGTTTTTCTGAGACAGAGACTCATTACGTCGCCCAGGCTGGCCTCAAACTCACAGCAACCCTCCTGTCTCAGTCTCCACAGTGCTGGGATTACAGGTATGCACCACCATGCCCATCCTCCTCTTACCTTTTTTTACTTTCCAAGAATCAAAGCATTTAATTGGAGTATTTATCTTTCATATGTAGTATAAACAGCCACGTTGGTGGGAAAAACTTCTTATCTGATCAGTGGCTTTTTAATGATCTTATTAACTTGATAAAATATAGGTCTCATTCAGCTAATAACTGTTCTGTCTCCAATAATTCTTCCCCAGTAAAATGTATACAGCCCACAGCGTTACCTAAAGTTTTAGATTCTCCAGGCAAATTTATGCAAATGATATCCAGGAGCCAGACATAAACTTCCTTTACATGAATATTCAGTAACAACAATTAGGAAATCACAGAGCCTCGGCAATGGGAGAAACAGTGATGTTCTGTCTCCTCCCGAATCCCCCGTGAGGTACAATAAAGCCTGCGGAGCCCAGGGCTGTGGCCAGAGTCACACGGCCACTTCCGAGGGGAGCGGTGACTCGGGCCTGAGGGTTGATGAGGCTCCCTTCTCCTCTGCTGACCGCAGGAGGATATAATGAACACATGGAGGAAGAAGATGCCAGAGCGCTTGTGATACAGTGAAACGCCCTATTGAAACTCGGAGTTTTGGGTACTTTTTATTGGTTAACTCAGTCCAAACTTTGAAGTACTCTGTGGTTGAGAGGTAGCTGACACGAAGTCCTCGTAAGTCTCGGAGAGGCCGCCACACCCTCATTAGTACAAGCTGCAGTGATGCCCCAGAGAAGCTTTGATTCAACTGATGAAAAAGGGGCAGAGTTCAAGAGCGCGAAATGAAGGACGCGGAGGCACCCGTTTCCCTGTACTACCTGCAACAGCAAATCGGTTCTCCTTAAACTTTGCTGCTATGTGTCTCAATCTTGAAATATGCTAGAAGTCTCTACTTTCGGGATATTATTAATTACTATTTTAGCTCTAGTTGTCATTCATTGATGTCTTAAGGGATCTATTAGAAATGCGTGAGCACTTATGACTAGCAATATTACCATGAATTATCAAAAAAACAAAATAAAACAAAACAAACAAAAAACAACCCACAAAACTTTGTGTTTTTTTTTTTTTTTTTTTTTACAAGCTTACTTTCATTATTATTTTTTTTTTCCACAAAACTTTGGTATCAATGGCAAGTGGGGAAGAAGTAAGTATCAAATCCACTAAGATTGCCAACAAAAATAAATTGGTACTACCAGAAGGAAGGCCTGAGAGACTTTCGAAGCACTCTTTCAAGATCAAGGAGAAGACGGATTAACTCTTTAATTAAATAATATTATCATAAAACATGTCTATGCAGAAAGCAAAAGGAGGCAAAACTCACTGTTTATAATCACTTTTAAGGTGTTAATCCATGCAATTTTTCTCAGCAGGAATAAAAAAAAAAAGTTTGTCTGAGAAAAACACAGAGATAGCAACAGGAGCAGCACCCCAAGAGGTGTCTGCTGGTGCCTTACTAGTGCTGTTAGACATCAGGTCTTTAATTCTTTCCCGCCTCTTCCTTCAGGAGCTTTTTTAAGTTAGTAACTAAATGAGGAGGACATCACATTTCTTTTTGGTATTTTTTTTTTAAATAAAAAATACGGTTTTGTTGCATAGTCCATCCATCTCTTAAGCTTGGAGAAGGCTGGAGGTGTGTGCCTTGTGGCAGCACAGGGCACCTGCCCTGCCTTTGAAGCTCTGAGCCACTTAAACTCTAGAATGACGCTCACTGTCCCAGCCTGCTGTTGGCCCTCAGAGCTGATGCCCAGATGAGTTGGCGCAATGCCACTCACTGGAGAATAATAGTCTGGCATCATTTTCCAATCTAGGTTGTGGCACTCCTGGGAATACTCCTGGAAGAAGGACTGCTGCATTGTATGTGTGGTTTGTCTTAATTTGCTTTGAAAAAAAAAAGTGTAGAATTTTCTAATAATCTCCTTCATTATCTTTTTAATTAATTAATTAATTAATTAATTTTTGCAGAACTGGGGATTGAATTCAGGCCCTTGTGCTTGCCAGGGAAGTGCTTATTCCACTGAGCCATCTCCCCAGCCCCTATCTTTTTTAAATTTTTTATGTATTTTGACTGTTTTGTTCTTCCATTTTATCAACAGTGGACTTAGTGTAAGCTAATCTAAGCTTGCCATAATTAGTTCTTGGAATAAGCTTTTCTAACTGAAGTTGCAATAGTTTGGTGAATTGATCAAGCAGGTCTTTATCTCTCTGTAGATGTAGACTTAGAAACTGCTGCCTCACCCCTTTCAAAAGTTTTAATATTTTAGCTCTAGTTGTCATTAATTGATAACGAGGAAAGAAACTTATCATGCATTGGTGACTATTTTATACCTGTCAGCTGCAAAGTTGAAAGAAAATAATACAAACTCAAAATGCCATGCTTGTTTTAAAGGAGTATATCACTTGCATGTTTCTTTCTTGGACTACAGAGTGCTTTAATAATATGACTTAAGTATTTCACGGTTAGATGCAATGTAATTTTGATGTAGCTGGCATCCCTCTACTGTGAACGAAACTCACAGGGAAATAACTGTTTATAAAATAGGCTTGACAACTTGGCTTCAAATTCCAGACCCATTTGCATGGGGGAATTTTCACAACAATCTCTCTGACTTAAGTAAAAAGTGATGGAAGCAGAATTTTATTTCCAATTATGAACTTTGGAATTGTCATGACGTTTAATCTGAATAAAGTTCTGTCTCTGAGGCCAGTCAATTCTAATTCAACTAGAGTCTTACTTGCCATTGCCAGGCACCCAGAGACCTTTGAGATAAGTGGTAGCTGAACTCCTAGGTAACTTTTCCTAGAATAAGAATTAAAAATGGAACAAATCTTATGTAGAAAGGCAGAGAGTGGAGACAAGAGACAAGACCTCGAGGGCTGCATTTGCTCTTCAAGCCTTTAAGCTCTACTCACCATTAGGATGATCAGGAGGCAAATGTTTCTGAAAAGGATCCAATCCATTGCTTTGGGTGGTCCTGGCCCACAAACACCGGGGAGATTCAGTTTTAGTCCTTTTCGTCTTGGCCCTGAGTTAGGCTCTGCGAGAAGATGTGCTTGAAGGTGCCCCTGAGGAGGGCATCAGTGTTGACTCTGGTGCTGCCTGGGCCGAGGGCTGAAGATATTCTCTAATGACTCTGTTTCCCCACCCCAAGCTCCTGAGCTCGTCTGCAAGGCTGGCATTGTTTGGGCACTGGGTAAGAACTTAGACACACCTTCATTCTTATTGCAATGAAACCCTTTGTTGGACACCAAAGAAAAATCTTATAGAGTGAGGGCAAGATTTACAGGGAAGATACCCAATGAATAATAAATTACTCACAACATGAAAAATAATTAAAATGCTAGGGCCTATCATCAGGCTGAATGAAATTAGAAGGCTGCTTCTTACTGCCAACATTGTAAAAGCAAAATTACATATACTGACAACACATACATACACATGGCCACTACTGAATCGGCTTCGAGGACTGACACTTTTAGTAGAGGGCATCGTGAAAAGGCAGCAGACTGAAAGCGTGGTCCCGAGAGAAGGACAGAATAATGAAATTCTCTTAATTTAGCTAAGGAAGTTCTGTGCTTGAACTGTGCTCTCAGCTTTAAAGATGAGAGCATAACACAGTTAAATTGAGGAAAGCAGCACTGGAATTAGTTCCAGTGTATTTGATTCTGAACTTGGTACCTTAGTTGAACCTATGTGATATTGTATCTATGGAATCATTTTAGAAGAACTACAGAGTTTCTATATATAACATTAACATATATTAATGTTATAAATTAACAAAATTTATAACATGACTGAAGGATACATTTTAAGCTGCCACAAGCATTCACTAAGGAGTCGCTGCTATTGGAAACCTGAAAATTGAAGGAAAAACCCAAAAAGCAGAGAGGCACCTGGATAATTTTGATATACTTTTCCGTTTTAAGTTTCTCTTTTCCTTATTGTTGGTATGGGTTTGCAATAGGGTGTAAAGCCTCCTTATGAGAAATTGCAGGTTGGCAGTAGCATCAACAAACATTAAAAGAAAACGTAGTTACATGTTCTCTAATTGCTAATCCAGGTTGGTTGGAGAATTTCAAAGGCAGACTGCTTCTTTCTTACCCCATCACTGTAATTCAGAAACAAGGCGGACTCTAGTAATAGAACTCATGCTAAGTAGCGTGTGGCCTCTTGAGAAACTCAGTTTGGCATTCTTGGAAGCAAAGGCAAGAGTCTGGACAATTAGAGGGCTGGCATTGTAGCCTTGATGAAGAAAAGTGAATTATATGTTGAGGATATTTATGGGAAAGAGAGAAGGAAATTGTATGGAGACAATGGAAAAAATGGTTGGTATGGTGAGGCTGTATGTCAATATAACCATCTGAGACAAATCTTAAATTTAGAGATATCTGCCAATTAAAATTAATAAGGTGACCAGATAAAGCACATATTTGCAATTCTTTTTTGAGATACTTCTTAAGGTAGCCCCCAGGGTTATTTGAAGTTGTGTGGTCTACCAAGAAAGAATTTAAGGAAAGGATTTCTAATCAGAGTCCTAAGTTTAGTGCCTCAACAATGTCTCTGGAAAGGCATAAGAAGTTGACTTGAAACTGGAATTAATTTCAGTGCATTTCAGTAGCAGAACTGGTACTTGGGTTGACACCGCATGGGGTGACAGCTTATCTAGAATGCTAATATGACCTATATTTCCTGAGTGAATTGTTAACTTAGCATTCATTCTGTGCTGCTTAATTCTTTAAAATTAAACACTTATGAAACTTTATTCTTTAGAAAATGAACAACTTCTTTTGAAAAATTTTTTTTTAAATATGTTTTCTTTTCTTTTCTTTTTTTTTTTTTTTTGTGGTTTTTTTTTTTTTTTTTTTTTTTTTTTTTTTTGTGGAACCGGGGATTGAACTCAGGCCTTCCACTTGCCAGGGAAGCGCTTATTCCACTGAGCCATCTCCTCAGCCCCTGGAAGTTTTTTAATAACCAACTAAACTTCATCATTTTTGTTTTCATGATTTTTTTTTGCATGTGTGGGGAGACTGAAGTGTGAAATGTGGGGCTGGGAAGATAGCTCACCTGAATAAGCAACTGCCTGGCAAGCGCAAGGACCTGGCTTCAATCCCTGGTGCTGCATACCATGCTGGCCCTAGAACCCCAGGTGTGCTGTGCTGGCTCCAAAACCAGGCATGGTGGTGCATGCCTGAAATCCCTGTGTTGGGGAGGCTGAGGCAAGAGGGTCACTAGGAGTCTGAGCTGTGCAGCCAGACTCTGTATCCAATAAATTTTTTAAAAAGTGACAATTGTATTTATTATGGAAAATTTTCTTTTACATATTTGTCTTGTTTTCTTTTCCATATTTGTCAGCTCAGCATTTGGTTACTGCTGCTCAGGCATTGGGCCCTCTGTTACAGAGTGTTGGTCTACTTGCTTCTCAATGCATGGGAAGTTTATGCTACCTGAGACTGTTTCCAAGAGACAGGGTGAAGTGGTTCCTCCCAATCCAGTCTGCCGAGAGCTATTAATTGGCTGTAATTTTACTACAGCCCTTTAAAAATTTTTGTACAGAGGATTTGACTTATCTGGGGATGAAGAAGGACAGTGAAAATTTAACTGTATTAGTGAGCGGGGTACTTCTTGACTAACAGTTCAATGTGGGTGTCTATCTCTAGAGACGTACTACAAAAAGAAGTGCATGTGTTTTGTATTTTATGAAAATTTAACGTGCAATTGGATCATGGAAACACAGGAGAAGAATATAAATTGTCTCAATTTGATGGATTTTTAGGATTAATATGATCTGGCTGAAGTTTCTTTCTCATTGTGACCTCTGCACATAAAATACTTTTTGGTGTGCGTCTCAAAATTGGAATCTGGAACATATATAGAGGCGTCATTGGCTTTATAGTATTATACTGTGGGGTCACCAGCCAAACATAAATGTGGAAGACCTTAGTTTGCTGTGGGAATCACTGCAGAACAGCAGAGAATGGGAAGAACCCACAGAAATGCTGTGGTGGATTTATGATGATACACGGTGGGTCAGTCAGAGGGCTAGAAGTAGACCGAATATCAGGGAGCAGCTAGTGTCTGCATGAGTTGTTCTCTGCAGTGACTTCCAAGAGGTTCTCGTAGGCTCGGGGGCAATGTACAATACATATTATATTAGTTCGAAAGATGGTCTTTCATTTTAGGCAGTGTAAGAAATGTATTTTGTTTCATTTCAGATAATATTGAAATAGAATAATTTTATTTTCATAAAAGAATCAATGAAAGAAACTTACATCTCTGTGTAACATTGCTTTTCACAATAGGGGAAACCGAAGTCTTCTCTAACAGTCTGTCTACTGTGCTATTTTACAAAGGCTTTGACGCTTGTTTTTGCTATGGGTAGCTAAACTTTTTTCTGAAGTATAATATATTTTCTACCTTCACAAATGCTATTTGTAAGATGAATTTTAAAAAGAAAACACAAAGCAACAGAAATAGGTACTAGATCACTTAGGTAGAGTCTTCCATTTGTAATTTCTGATTTCAATGGAATTTCAGAGTCTGGATCTGAAAAGTATTATCATGAACAGTATTATAGAACATTTTCTGTTGCTGTAACAAAATACCCAAGGCAGAGTATTAAATACAGAAAAAAGTTTATTTGGCTCACACTTTGGTAAGCTGGAAGTCCAAGATGAGGTGACCCCGTGGGGTGGCTTGTGCTGAGGACCTGGTTGCATCAGAACAGGGTGAGCGGTGTCATGGCAGAACGCATTCGTGGGGGAGAGAACAGCCACGTGGCAAGACAGGATCCAGCAGCAACCCCGCTCTTTCTATAACAGCTCTCTGCCTTGGAAGCTAGTGAAGGTCACCCAAGAA